CCCCGGGCCGGGGGGGGGGGGTTTAAGGCCTGAGCTGCCCGGCGCTGCGGGGGCCCCGGGCCGGGGGTTAAGGCCTGAGCTGCCCGGGGGGGGGGGGTTAAGGCCTGAGCTGCCCGGCGCTGCGGGGGCCCCGGGCCGGGAAGGGGGGGGTTAAGGCCTGAGCTGCCCGGCGCTGCAGGGGGCCCTACCCAGGATGGCGGCGGCAGCAGCTCACGGACAGGCAGACGGGTGAGGGGGTCCATGGGGGTAAACAAGGGCGTGGCGTTCCCCAGCGTTGAGGAGGCGGCCATCTTGAAGGCTGGCCGCCGCCGCCGAATCGGCCCGCTTTCAAGATGGCTGACTCCGCCTTCTGCCGGCACTTCCGGTTTCTCTCAGGGTCCGGCTACCGTTAGTCCCGCTGCTCGTCTCGGCCAGGCCCTTCCTCGCTGCCCGGTCCGCAGCGGCCCCGCGTCTCGGGGCCTCCGAGCCGGGCGGTCGCCGCGGGACATGGCGCTGCTGCAGCTGCTGCTAAGGGCCCCCCGCTGGCGGCGGCTCGGCCTGGCGGGGCTCGCTCGGAGCTGGGGCCGGCCTCGGGGCGGCGGAGTGCTCCCGGTGAGTGGCCGCGGCAGGCTGAGCCCGGGGAGCGCGGGCCGGGCCTGGGGGCGGCTGGCTCTGGGGCGGCCGGGGCTGCGCGGCCTGGGGGTCGATCGCCCGGCGCTGGAGCCCTGGGATCTGGTCCTGGCTCTGGCAGGGGCCTGCTGGGAGACCCGGGACCCGCTTCCCCTGCCCTGTCCGGGGGGAGACCGGAGAGCGACTGATGCGACCCGGGCCATTGTTATTCCTGGGGTGGGGGACGAGACTTCCTGTGCAGCGCAGGTGGGAGTCCCTCCTTTCTGCTGCCCCATGAGGCAGAAGCTGTCTGGCACAGCGTGTATGTGCAGCACCGGGCACAGCGTCTAACCGCTCCCCAGTTCCGAGTAATTCCTAAACACGCTGCCGAGGGCCTGGTGGAAAGGGAGAAATCCCCAGGGCTCCTACCATCTGTGCACACTTTCCAGGAATCACCTGCCTGCAGCCCTAGAAAACAGAAGAGTTTAATGATGGAGAAGCTGTGCTAGTATTGGAGAGATCCTGTCTGGTGTTACCTATAGCTAGGGCCCTGAAAAACGCGTCACGGACTGTGACATCTGGTCTTTTGTGTGCTTTTGCAGATTTCATGGGGGAGACCAGCATTTATCAAATTAGGAGTTCTGACCCAAAAGGGAGTTGTGTGGGGTTGCAATGTTAGTTTAGGGGGAGGTCGTGGTATTGCCACCCTTACTTCTGCACTCCCTTCAGAGCTGGGTAGCCGGACAGAGGCAGCTGTTGGCCTGGTGCCCAGCTCTGAAGGTGATACCCCAACAGCAGCAGCTCAGAAGTAAGGTTGGCAATAGCGTGCCATGCCATGCCATGCCATCCTTCTACGCTGCTGGTGGCAGCTCTGCCTTTAGAGCTGGGCTCCCCACCAGCAGCTACCACTCTCTAGCTGCCCAGCCTGAAGGTAGCGCTGCCACTAGCAGCAGCACAAAAGTAAGGGTAGCAGTATTACTACCCCTTACAATAAACTTGTCACGCACCTGCAACTCCTTTTTGGGTCAGGAACCCGACAATTACAACACTGAAATTTCAGATTTAAATAGTAGAAATAATGAAATTTACTATATTTAAACTCCTATGACTGAAATTGACCAAAATGGACCCTGAATTTCATAGGGCCCTACCTACCTAGAGCCTGGTCTCTACTGTTCGTACCATTCTCTCTTAGAAACTTGAAACTTTTTTTTTTTGGAAGTCTAAGCCATTTCTGTTTGGCAAACATTGATTCCTTTCCTCACTTATGTTTTTCTTGGAAGATACCCCAGCATAGCTGTGCTACCTGTTATTTCCTTGTAGATAGGATTTCATAGAATCATAGAACTGGAAGGGACCTCGAGAGGTCATCTAGTCCAGTCCCCTGCACTCATGGCAAGACTAAGTATTATTTAGACTATTTCTGACACTTGTTTGTCTAACCTGCTCTTAAAAATATCCAATGATGGAGATTCCGCAATCTTCCTAGGCAATTTATTCCAGTGCTTAACCACCCTGACACTTAGGAAGTTTTTCCTAATGTCCAACCTAAACCGCCCTTGCTGCAATTTATGCCCATTGCTTCTTGTCCTATCCTCAGAGGTTAAGAAGAACAATTCTTTCCCCTCCTCCTTCTAACAACCTTTTACAAACTTGAAAACTGTTATGTCCCCTCTCAGTCTTCTCTTTTCCAGGTTAAACAAACCCATTTTTTTTCAATCTTCCCTCGTAGGTCATGTTTTCTAGACCTTTAATAATTTTTGTTGCTCTTCTCTGGACTTTCTCCAATTTGTCCACATCTTTCCTGCAATGTGGGGCCCAGAACTGGACACAATGCTCCAATTGAGGCCTAGTCAGTGCGGAGTAGAGCTGAAGAATTACTTCTCATGTCTTGCTTACAACACTCCTGCTAATACATCCCAGAATGATGTTCGCTTTTTTTTTGCAACAGTGTTACACTGTTGACTCATATTGAGCTTATGATCCACTATGACACTCATATCCCTTTCCACAGTACTCCTTCCTA